GCATGCTGCGGCGTGCAGCCCGATCCCATCATAAATTAATAAGGTCTGATGCAGCATGCAGCCCGATCCCATAAATAGCACTCACATTCAGGCCCTTGACCTTGCTCAGTTATCAATCTCTCCAGTCTCTCGGGCTTACAAATATCATGCCAATCAGCCCAAATAATGATACGTGATGTAACAATAAATAATAATAGAAACTGAGATATTATATGCAAATAATGAATGTGACTGAGTACAAAATTGTAATTTATGCAAATAACTCAATAGTAGAAATGACCTCAGTGGATCCCAACAGGAGAATCATATAGCCTAAACATGGTTTCTAACATGGATCTTAGTTCAATTGCTATAGCGCGTGGAAATTTCATGGATAGAAACAAGATTTGGTAACTACACATAGAATTAATCGAGTCATAATTCACACGGCGCACGCCCATACACCCGTCACCTAGCATGTGCGTCATCTCTATACCAAACATATAACACGTATATTCAGCAGTTCATACCTTCAGCACCAAATTTAGAAGTGTTACTTACCTCGAACAAGCCGATTCCAATACCAAGCAAACCACACAATACTCTAGAAATGCCATCCTGCGATACCGACCTCCGAACAGCTCAAAACTAGCCAAAGCAACTCAAGAACATCAAATAATGCCAAAGAAAACCACCCTAATGGATAAAGGTCGAACCTTTAATCAAAAGCCCAAATTAACCAAAAAGTCAAACTCGGGCCTGCACCTCAAAATCAGAAGAAACTCACAAAATCCAACACATTCAATTACGAGTCCAACCATACTAGTTTCACAAAAATCCGACTCGGAATCGATGTTTAAAATTAAGAAATTCACTTTATAAATTTTAGACAAAACCCCCCAAATTTCACTTTGAAATCATCAATCAAATGCCAGAAACGTAGATGGATTCATGAAATATAACCAAAATCGAGTATACAACACTTGCCCCAATCCATGTAGTGAAAATCACCTCCAAAATCGCCAAAATTCGAGCTCTCCAACTCAAAATATGACCTCATGAACAAACCCTCGATATTATATGCTTTTGCCCAGCTGTTCTGCCTCGTTTATTATGTCAAACGATCCCAAAACTCAATTTTAATATCTTCAATGGATTTCTCGTAAAATCTCAGTCAAGTTAGGCTTTTGAATCACTCCATTTGACCTAATAATGAAGGAGATATGTTGGTTTCAATATTTTAAAAATACAGCAAATTTTTAAATACGAATCAGTGGCAATTTCGTGATTAATCTGAAAAATATCTTGCAACCCAATATTTAGTAAAATGACAATAAATTGCTCATACGATGTCGAAACTTGATGATTCGAGTTGCTATGGTTCCAAAATTACGATACGTATATAATGGTTTAGTCGAAACACGTATCAAAGGCCGTTTGCTCAATACGATAACCTTTATGCTCAAATCGACGTCGAAACTGAAAGCAATCACCATACAACCCAAACTTATCCAAAACTCATCGAAATTTAACCAAACTTTGTGTACATGTCCAAAATTATCATACAAACTTATTGGAATAATTAAAATCCGAATCCGAGCCCGTTTACCCGAAAATCAAACCTTGTCCAATTTTTCCAATTTAAAGCTTTTAAAACGAAAATCATTCTTCCAAATCAATCCCGAACCGCTCGAAAACCGAAAACAACCATACATATAAGTCATAGTACATAATATTAAGCTACTTAAAGTCTCAAACCACTGAATGGAACGCTAAAGTTCAAAATGACCGGTCGGGTCGTTACAGTAGAGTTATAGTAGCACTTCCATAGCCTTCAATTAAGTTACTACTACCAGAAATTGTAGTAACATCTGCCTTACATATACTTAAGTGAGAGAAATATTTCTTCTCTTTGAATATTGTATGTGTAGTACATGAATCAATTAAACAAATATTTTTACAATGAACTTTGATATAAGTTTGCTTTGAGAGATATCCATTTTTGCTTCCCATGGTTTGACATACAAAAGGAATTATACGAATAAACATTAGTATTTTCAGAGAAAAGAAAAAAAACAAAGTTAAATCAATGATTCATTAATGACATTTTAATGCAATTTCAAGCAATCTCTGATTATGATACAAACAATTACGTTGCTAATAATGCAATTATAAGTACACTACACATACAACTAATACAACTACATTAAATTTATTTACATGTATAAGTTATTTCCATGATGTTGTATTAATACATGACTTCATTAATTGATCGTTCTGTCTATTCAAATATATTTAAAAAAAATATATGTATTGCTAGTTATTATTTCTGGTAGCGGCTAAACTATATAATTTTTCCAAAAAATTAAAACTAGAATCGTTAACTCTCACGAACACAAAAGACGTTTCGTCTAAAAAGGGAATTCAAAAAGAATATAAAGAAGGAAATTTATTTAACAACATGGTAAGTGTGGGTTTAATGGAAAAACAACATGATAAAGACAACTTTATTTCGACCAATAAAGCTTCGTGAGTTAATACGAAATTAAAAGAGAGATAAAAGTTCTTTAAGATCAAGTTAATCACGTGGGTACCACATGTAATAGCAAAATTTAATTTAAAAATGATAAAAGAACACGTGGGAACCAAAGTAGCTTTTTAGTACTACTATAGGAGTAATATTTTTCTTTGAACTATACTGGGAATAATATTAATTATTTGAATAGACAGTCCTCTAGTGTCACGCTTTTGGCGGTCTCTTCGTTCGGTTGTTTCAATTTGAGTTTCAAAGGCCGAAACATTGTTTAAAACAAATACTATAATTATATTTAATCAAAATGAACTAACACTATTTCATAAAACAAATAATAACAATTGATACTAATGACTACTACTCATGTAAAGAATTATGATTATATGATGTTTATTCACTAGCTACTATGAATAGACAAAAATAAAAACAAAACAACTTAATCATTTTTAACCACGAATCTATCATCCTTCAAGTGATCTATTTTTTCATCAGGGTGCTCAAAGAAGTCTGTCACATCCATGTGGGTGATGTCAAATGTATTGTCAGAGATAAAATTAGCTTCAGGACCTTTATTCTTTAGAGTTGCTTGATAAAGCTTAACCAAATATCTTGTTGTACGACAAATATTTGCCAAATACCTTTTCTACCGCAACGATAACATCTAGTTTCTGAATCCTTTATTTTTGGCTTCTCATATTTCCCTTTCCACTTTGGGTGGTTATTTTTCTTTGGGGGAAGATTAACACCGGAAAAATTTCTTCCTTGGCCACGACCACGAACAGGATTATGACCTTTTCAGCGCTTAGCATAATGGGAATACACCTCATTCACTTTGGGCAATTGTATAAACCAGTGGGTCGATTATCGTGATTTCTCACGAGCAACTCATTGTTTCGTCAGCCACAAGGAGAAGAGAAATCAACTTAGAGTATCTCTTGAAACATTTCTCTCGATATTGTTGTTGCAAGACATGAAACGATGTGAACGTTTTTCAACCATATCATAGTCAGTGATATCTCCGCAAAGTTTCATTTGAGAAGTAATTTTGAACATCGCGAGATTGTATTTAGAAATAGACTTAAAGTCTTGGAGCCTCATATGAGCCCAATCATGTTGTGCTTGTGGAAGTGTAACCAACTTTAGGTTGTCATATCTTTCCTTTAAGTCATTCCACAAAACAAGTGGATTTTTGACATTCTACTTTCAACCCTTCATCAAGGCGATGGTGCCAGAAAATCAACGTCTTAGCACAGTCTTGGTTACATGCTTTATTTTTTTTTTATCTTTAATGGTGTCTCCAAGACCCATTGCATCTAAATGGATTTCAACATCCAACACCCATGACATATCGTTCTTGCCTGAAATTTTAAGGGCAACGAACTTTCGTTTCATAATATCACTCATAGTTAAAAGAGGAGAAAAATTACACGTTAGTATTCTCAAAGAGCTTCTTGAAACGGTATAGTCTCATGCTGATAACGTGAGATAAAATAATAAAAGATTGCAAAGAAAAGACAGAGAATTCTTATTGATTTTGAAACAAATTACAATGGAATAGAACCCCTCAATTTATAGGGGAAAAGTCACTTATAGCATGTTTGGCCCAGCTTCTAAAATCTGCTTATTTTGAAAAGCATTTTTCGCAAAAGCGCTTTTCAAAAAAGTACTTTTGGTGAGAAGTAGCTTGTATTTGGCTAATTAATTTGAAAAGTACTTTTGAGCAATAATTAGTGTTTGGCTAAGCTTTTAAAAAGTGTTTCTAAGTGTATTTTTCTCAAAAGTGCTTTGGAGAGAAGCTATTTTTTTCTGCTTCTCCAAAACTACTTCTGCTTCAACTCAAAAGTAATTTTTTTCCTTCAAAAGCTTGGCCAAACACCTTAATTTTGGCAAAAAATACTTTTAACTAAACAAAGCACTTTTTGCCAAAAAAAAAATAATTGGCCAAATATGTGATTAGTCACAAAGTAACAACCTCTAAAATCTCTCTAAAAGATAGACATTAACCTTAAATAAATACTATTTATGACAATTTTAAATTAAGTAATTCCCTAATGATTATCTCACCCTCAATGTGGGATATATTAATTCCAGGATTACTCAACCAGATCCCTAAGGGGTCGTTTCATACCCCGACTAAATTATTCCGGAATTATAATCCGAGAACTAATTCATATTACATGAGAGATCGGATAAAATAATCTCACATTTGATTGGATAAGGTGGAATAAGATGAAATATCCTGGATTAAATCTTGAATTAAATTTATACGTTGTTTGATTGAAGGTATAACTTTAACTCAATCCCACCTTATCACTCAGTATCAAACGACGCCTAACAATCTAACGTTATCTAGCAGAAGCGAACTTGGTCTTTTGAGTTACGTCATAAACTATGTGGCAAATTGCCAAAAAATGGAGACGATCGGGGGTTGATTGCAAAGAACAGCAAAGTTTAGGGTGTAAAATGCAAAGAGGACGCAAAATTCACTAACATTTTTGCTTAGGGGTAGGAAGACAAAGGAGGAGCAAAGCCGCAATGGCAGCTGGACTTGCAATTGGATTGACTGCTGTAAGACCGCAAGCACTTGGTACGAAAATCCTCAATTGCCAAAAAACCAAATGGGTCTTTAGCCCCTTGGCCTTTTCATCTTGTTCTTCAAATTCAAGAAAGCTAATACTGTATTCGAAGCCCGGTTGCTGTTTGTGTGATGGCCTCAAAGAAAAACTCAATGCAGCTTTCTCTCTTTCCACTCCCCATTCTCTCCATGACGTTCAATTACAGGTTCTAATTAGCCTTTTGACTTTTTAAGCGTTCTCTTTTGAAGTTTAATTTAATGGGTTTTGGGCAGGTTAGAGATATAACTAGCAATCCTGAGTGGGAGAAGGCTTACCAATATGAAATACCTGTGTTGGCTAGAGTGCGTCCTGATGGCACTGAGGTTTGATATGCTCTTACTACTAGTGCTTTTCTGCATCTTTATATGGAACTTCTAATGTTAAATAACTGTCGTAGTTCTTGCTTGTCTCTGTTTCATTTCATTGTTGTATGCTACTTATGATCAGCAGTGGACAGCCAGGATCTGTATTAAGAGGGTGTCAAAATTTTTTATATTTAAATACAAGAATAAGTCAAGGGCAGTCATACATATTATATATACATAGAAAATAATTTTTACGTATCTAAAGAGTGTAATTTTCTGGTGAAGGAGTGTCAACCTTTGAGCTATGTGGCTCAGCCACAACTTGTGATACTGTTTTGAGTGTGACAATATTGATAACCTTTGACCGCAACTATTAAAAAGGGCAGCCCGGACACCACGGTTATCACAACAACAAAAAGGCAGCCCGGTTTACGAAATATTCCACGTTCACGCAGGGTTCAAGGAAGGACCACAGTCCAAGGCAGTGTGATACATGCAACTTACTGTGACACAAGCGTCAATGGCTGATTCCATAACATATTGTACTAATTTTCATATTATTTCCCTAACAAACTTGAGAGTCTATTAGTTAGGACCAAAAAGAAAAAGGAAAAAATGGTGAAGGAAAGGGATTGCAAACCCTTTTTTTCTTCCCTTTCTTTCTATTCCTTAGAACCAATCAATCTCACACAAAAAATAATACTGTTCAAAATTAGTTATCTTTCATGTAATACATACCATCTTATACTTGTGAACTACCACTCAAATAAGCGTACGCATCTCTGTTTATTTATAAATCCTTAAGTACATATCCTTATTTAGAAGTTACATGGTTTCTGTAGTAAGTTAGGTTGAAATTTAAAAAATTAAAAAGTTAAGGAATAAGTTCTGCTCTACTTTCCACATACTGCTGTGGCATTGCCGAGAAGCTTTGTTCAAATACAATGTTTTGATCCTTAAGTTGCTTTTTCTGCTATCTATAAAGGAAACTGTGCGAGGCCAAAACCTTTATGAAATATTGTTATTAGTAGATGAGATGATTGAAGCACTTGTTGGTATTAGCTGTCATCAATTTTAGATTTTAACTTGAACACTTGATGCTGCTGAAGGAGCAGTACTTTTTAAAAGCGAATAGCGCAAAAGGGGATAGGGATATTGTGCCGGGTGATTTGGAGCACTGCGAGAGTCGTCGTGATTTTAGGAATTGTAGGCGCTTTAGTTTCGAAGAGGTCGCGAGGGATGTACGTAAGATGAGCAGAGCGACCGGGCCAGACGAGATCCCGGTTGAAATCTGGAGGTTCGCGGGTAGGGATGGCTTGGAATGGCTGACTGGGCTGTTTAATGTTATTTTTAGGACGAAGAAGATGCCCGAGGAGTGGCGGTGGAATATGATGGTTCCGTTGTACAAGAACAAAGGTGATATCCAAAATTGTAACAATTATAGGGGTATCAAGTTGCTTAGTCATACTATAAAAGTTTGGGAGAGGGTGGTGGAAGCGAGGGTGAGGAAGACTGTGTCTATTCCCGAGAACCAGTTCGGTTTCATGCCGGGGCGTTTGACTACGAAGCCATCCATCTAGTTAGGAGGTTGGTAGAATAGTACAGGGATAGGAAGAGGGATCTGCATATGGTGTTTATTGACCTAGAGAAAGCGTACGACATGGTCCTAAGGAGGTCCTTTGGAGATGCTGGGAGAATAGAAGTGTTCATGTCGCTTACATTAGAGTGATTAAAGACATGTATGATGGAGCTAAGATTCGGGTGAGGATAGTGGGAGGTCACACGGAACATTTTTCGGTAGGGATGGGGTTACACCAAGGATCTGCGCTCAGCTCGTTCTTATTTGCTTTGGCGATGGATACACTGACGTGACATATTCAAGAGGAGGTGCCTTGGTGTATGTTATTCGCCGACGATATAGTGCTGATTGATGAGACGCGAGGTGGTGTCAACGAGAAGTTAGAGGTTTGGAGACAGACCTTAGAGTCTAAAGGTTTCAAGTTGAACAGGACTAAGACAAACTACTTAGAGTGCAAGTTCAACGACGAGACGACGAGAGCGGATAGATGTGAGACTTGGTTCGCAAGTCATCCCTAAGAGAAGAAGTTTCAAGTATCTTGAATCAGTTATCCAAGGGAACGGGGAGATTGACGAGGATGTCACACACCGTATAGGGGCGGGGTGGATGAATGGAGGTTAGCATCTGGCGCCCTGTGTGACAAGCAAGTGCCACCAAAACTTAAAGGTCAGTTCTACAAGGCGGTGGTTAGACCGACAATGTTGTGTGGGGCTGAATGCTGGCCAGTCAAGAACTCCCACGTCCAGAGAATGAACGTAGCAGAAATGAAGATGTTGCGATGGATGTGCGGGCATACTAGGTTGGATAAGATTAGCAATGAGGATATTCGGGAGAAAGTGGGTGTGGCGCCTATGGAGGATAAGATGCGGGAAGCGAGGCTTAGATGGTTCGGGCATGTGAGACGGAGAAGTCCCGATGCTCTAGTGAGAAGGTGTGAAGGGTTGGCACTGGCAGGTAGGGGAATAGGTAGAGGGCGATCTAAGAAGTATTGGGGAGAGGTGATCAGGCAGGACATGGCGCGACTGCAACTTATCGAGGACATAACCCTTGATAGGAGGGTTTGGAGGTTGAAGATTAGGGTGGAAGGGTAATAGGTCGTAGTGTGTTTTTCTGTACTGTTTTGGGTTTGTAAGGGCTATCCGGCTAGTACCTGTCATTGTTTCTTAGATGGCTAGTGTTAGGGTGGTTTTTAGTGCTATCTTCCGCCTAGGTTTTCTAGTACCTTGCCGTTGTTATTGCTTGACTATTGCTTTTGCTCAGTGTTATAAATAGTGCTCGCCTCAACGCTAATAGCGTGAGGCGAGGCGATGCGAGTAGCCTGCGCTATTTTGGCTCTGTTGCGTTGCGATTGTAAAAGGCGAGCGCCTCTGCTTGTGTAGCGAGAGGCGAGCTGTGGCGTCGCTTTTTGAAAAAAAGAAAGAAAAAGGTGCAGATTAGGGCTTAAAACATTAGGGCTTGCAGTAATTTCACGTTTCTTTCTTCTTCAACCTACAAACAACAGAGCACCCAAGTCCAGCCAGCCCAGGTAAGCTTCTCTTCTTCTTTCTCCTCTCTTTCTTTCTTCCTTTTCCTTCTTCTTCTCTTCTTCTTTCAATTTTTTTTGCTCTGTTTTTTATCGAGCAACAGTGCAGAACAGAGAGTCTGTCTGTTGCTCTGTTTTTTTTGTTTTTCTTTTCTTCTTTTCTTCTGATCTTCTCTTCTTCTTTTTATTTTTTTTTTTTGCTCTGTTTTTTGTCGAGCAACAGTGCAGCAAAAAAAGGACAGAGAGTCTGTTTATGCTCTGTTTTTTTTTTCTTTCTTCTTCTGGTCTTCTCTTCTTCGTTTTTTTTGTTGCTCTGTTTTTTATTGAGCAGCAGTACTGCACCCTGTTTTTGCAGAGGCAGAGGCAGAGAACTTATTCAAAACTTTAAACCTGAAATTTCCTCCTTTTTCAGTTATAGAGTAGAATTAATTGCATATTGTGAATTGATATATTCATTAATATATTATTGTTATTGAGTTTTTAGTTATATATATAATATTTTATTTTTTTGTATAAATTGTCGCTTCACATCAAAAAGGCGAGCGCTTCGCTGCGCGCCTCTCGCCTCAGTGAAGCGGGCCCTCGTCGCTATTTGTCGCCGCACGCTATCCAAAACACTGCTTTTGCTGTTGCTATTGTTTTCTTCCACCTGTTTTTCCGGTCCATACATTATTGGTTGCATTTTCCTGGCTTCTTGTTGATATTTGCCTGTTTCTATTCTTCCTCTTGAGCCGATGGTCTTTTTGAAACAACCTCTTTACCCCTAAAGTGGGGGTAAGGTCTGCGTATACATTACCCTCCCCAAACTCCACTTGTGGAATTCCACTGGGTTGTTGTTGTTGAAAAGCGCAAAAGGACGACTAGGTTCATGGGGTTTGGAAGTACAATGACCACTCAACCCCGTATTTCAAGATCCTTAAAGTAAATATCATCATAGCCCTAAACATAGCAAATTTGACCCAAACTGTCCTTGCCCTCCTTTATCTTCACTCTTCAGATAGGTTCTGACCATTACTATTCACTTCCTAAATCCTAACTTGCCACTTGGTTAACTATGGATAATGCGTAATCATTATATAAATCACTGAAGCCTGTTTGGTAAGTTGGCTGAAACGTTACACTGTTCCTCTCGGAATACATCTGATACTTAAAGCCAGCTGGAAATATCTGTAAAAGATGGCATTGGAAGTCCTAGAAAGACTGCTTGGTTTAGATCACGTATCAGTCGATCTTCCAAAGATATACCTGACTCAAGCACAGTGCAAGCAAAAGTTGGTTTTAGAGAACTCCATTCCCAAAATCCTACCAAAATGTTTGCTTCCTTTGACATTATTATAGGCAGAAAAACGTTAACTTCGTAGCAGATTGTGACAGATTCATTCATGGATAAGGTTTACGCAAGGCGGTGCCTCAAGTTGAGGAAGATATCAATGTTAGAGAGCATATGCAGATCTAATGTAACTGGCAGGCTTTTGTGGGCATTAAAATAGGCAGTAGTTCAATTTACTAGATTTCCGTTATATCTAGATTTCCTGTGTTTGTAGATTCCTAGTTTTCCTTAATAGCCTTGTAATAAGGGTCTCATATTTAAAGAGACTGAATCAAAAGGAAGAGGAAGGATTTATACCAAAAACAAGAGGTCTGGGACTCTATGTAACGAGTCCTAAGGTTACAAGTCCCTTTTGACGAGCTTTACTATTGTATCAGAATAGGTCGCTCACGAAATAAAATCATGGGAGAGGACTTGTTTAACACAGACTTCACAGTGAATCGCCTTGTGACAAGATCTAGACATGTGGTTCTAATACTGATGCTGAGTGACGGGATCGATAGTATGATTCCTCTGTATGCATTGAGCTCTATTCAAGCCCATTTCACTCCAGTATTAAATGATTTTTCTTTGAGATAAAGTAGGGT